ATTTTCTATGGCCGTTAAGAATAGGTGTCTGTGGCTTAAATGGAAAATTCTAGCTGATTCAATCTTATTTAATTAAGATGAAGATATTTAAAATTTTATGAAAATAAAGCGAGAATACAGCTTAAATAATTTCATTTTCTCCGCCTTATCATAGGCTAAGGAGCAGGTGTATAGATAGCAAGCTTAATTAGGATATAATTTAAGAATTATTAAAATATTTAGCAATTAATGTTCTCACTTGTCGAAAGATGCCGCATTATAGCTAATTTCATTGGCGGTGGAATATAAGATCCCTCGCGGATATTAATCATCGGACTTAGATTTTGATGTATATTGCTTATTTTTCTAGGGCATCTGTTTATATTATCGGCTGCAAAAATAATTAAAAACATGGGCATATAACTAATTACATTAGAACAAATCGATGCAATTCTTGGTGTAATCCAACTAAAATATTGTGACAATGTATATATATTTATAGAACTTTTAAATTAATGCATCACTATAGACTTTCTGGAGCTGTAGATTATGCTAAAAATGCAGATTATTCTTAATTAAGTTTAGCCTCTAGAATTTGAGATGGTTAGGCAAGACTCCTGGAAGTCAAAGATATTATACATTAATTTCTGGCACCTTTTATAAATATATATTATAGGTTTAAACATTCCAAAAATATATTTTAGAGAACTGACTTACAATGATCAAAATAGAGAACTAAGGGTCACTTTCATCAATGACCAAGACTAGAGTTTATTCATAAAAAATATGGTTACTCTAGCATTATGATATATACAAATATTAGTGTATCTTCAAATTATACTTCAATAAACTCCAACTGGGAGTCAGACTATAATTATAAGTAGCAAAGCGGTCTATAGCTATACACATCTAAATATTAATAACCAAATTTTACCTCCAACCATGGGGATATTTAAAAAGTCTAGTATAAATATATCAATGTTAAAAAAGGTAGCACCAAGGACAATATTAATGTGGGGTTATTTGAGTTGCAACCTATAATTTTTCTTTTGAGTAATATGATTATTCTACGCATATTATTCAGAGATAGGTACATTAAGTGTTTCAAATGCTAAAACCTCTTTTCTCCAACTACTTAAAACTATATATTAAGTTAGCTAGAATTAGTTTTTAGTATAATGATTATAAATTTCGACTTAAGCCCAAAACAAAACTTTGTCTTTGCTGTTATGATAATATTTATTTGCTAAACTTCCCATCAACTATTCTTTTGATAATTTCCCCCTTTTAATATCATATACTAATCAATACAAATCCCAAAAAATTTATAGGCATCTTAAAAATTATAAAGGGATACAGCAAAGAGCTATATAAGTCTTCACTGATTCTGACCTATACAAGTATTATGATAAACTGGTTCAGTATTGTGCACGCAATATTTTCCCTCTGCTTGTTAAATTCATTTTAAAATTTATTTACATCCTTCATGAGCTTTTATTTCAAAATGCCTTAACAATAGTCATTACTGATTAGGTATCTCAAAATATCATATAATTTGTGGCTTAATTCAAGAGCCAAAACTTAACTTCTAATATTGAGCGATACTTATCCAAAGTCAGGTATATTCATAAAGTGTGAGTCATTTCAGTTTCGTATACATCGTATTTGGTATTATAAGCTTTATTCAAAATTTGTATACTATTTAATAAGTTTACGAACATTCATTGCATATATATCACTTGCTTCCTAAGCGTTACCATTTCTACAGTAATGACATTCATAATCACTAAGTCCTCCTCAATAAATGCCTACTTTGTTTGAAGTGATACTATACGTAGGTTTTATAAATCAAATATAACTTACTTATAATGTCCGTCTCGTCTATAATTTCTTCCTGCAAGATTTCCTCAATAACATCCTCAAGTGTGATCATTCCAATAATCCTTTCATGCGACTCTTGTCCATCCGTATACCGTTCCTTGATTATGGCAATATGAGAACTTCCTGCTTTGATTAAATCTTTTGAAAAATTAGCCTACCTTTCTTAAAAAGATTAAGCATGACTCTTATTTGTGCGTCCTTTGACACCACTATAAATTTACGGTTGTAGAAGTTGCATATTGTTGAAACCAAAATCTTGTCATTCGGGTCTACAAATGCTAAATCTTTTACATTTAATAGGCCTCGTATATTCTGTCTAGTGCCCTCATATACGGGTATTCGTGTAAAACCATTGGCTATTATTTCATTAGTCATATCAAAATCTAGGCAAGCATTATATGAAATCATAAAAATGTGTTCTAAAGGAGTCATTATATCCTTTACGGTCTTTTTGAAAAGACTCAGTGCCCCTGTAATGATTTTTACTTCATCCATATCCACATAGCCACTAAGAGCCTCAAAATATAATAAATATTAAGGAATACCTCAGCGCGAACCAACGCTACAAGTTTTTCTCTACCAAGACTCAGTCCCATATATTGACCAACGCATTTGTCGAAGATATAGCCCATTGGATAAGTTAGAGGTGATGTTGCAAGCAATAGGAACTTGGTGATCCATATAGTTTTGGAAACAACCAGGAGCGGATATTTTGAACAAATTACTTGAGGCAACAGCTCGCCAAAAAAGACAAGGACAATGGTAGCAAAAATAATTGAAACATAATGCGAGGCAATCAGACTGTCTGCAACAATAGAGAATGAGACATTAGTCAAAACGTTAGAAAAAATTATAGCACAGAGAAGATGATTTGATCTTTCTAAAGCAGGAAGCACGGCAGCAGCTTGAAGCTTCTCTTCTGCTGATCCAGCCGATAGATATATCTGAATAACAACTTTATCCAAACCAACGAATGCAATATTTATTCCACTAAATAATGCAGAAAAGAGCAAGAGAATAAAGAGTACAAAAACCAAAATTACAATAAAAAAGTTGGGATATGACGGACTTAGTATGATTCCACGTGGATAAGTATGGTTTTCATAAACCCATAATTTACTTTTGGGATCATATGAACACATAAGCAGACAAACAGGCTTTAAGATAGCCCGAGTAAAAGAAGCATTCACAATAGCCATATTTTCATCAATTTGAAATAAATAAAATGCAGGGGAAAATAAGTTGTCTTCACATAGTTTTATAGTTTGGGGAAGATCTTCTATAAACGCTATTTTAGATATCGTAGACAGAGACGTTCCAAATAAACGCAACTTATATGTTTCACCAAACTTAACAGGCAAAAAGTTATTTTCAATCGAAAAATCCTGCTCGATTGTAAAAAAATAAATAAGTGAATTTGAAGGTTTAGTCATCTCAACGATCACGATAAAAGGTATTATAATTCGATGAAGCCGCCAGAACATATACGCATTGAGTAAGGGCGTAGGTACACGGAATGTTAATTTGGCAAAAAAGTAAACTTTAAAAATAAAACAAA